GGAAATACAAAGGAAATGTCTATTATTGACTTTGTTGTAAAACTTTTCCCAAGTTTTATTAAATTTTTTTCGAATTCTGTTTGTGATCTTAGCCTTGTGCTATGTTCTATCTATAAGTTAGTTAAATTTCACTTAAAGTTGTCTCCTACTTGTTGGTATTGGTAAGTAGTATATATCAACAAAATTAACTCTAGGATGTAAATTCACTTGTTTGTAAAGAAAAACAATACTTCTATGGTTAAATTTGGACATTCACTCGGACTGTATTTTCCGGCACTATTAAGTGGTAACTTTATTTTATTCTATAAGTGACATTGAGATTAATATTATAATAGTACATGTAGGATTAAGTAATTTTGGGTAATTATAACTACCGTACTTCACTGTACCTTTTGGTGAAAATTGTGCCTGTATTTTTGATGCACAATGTTTATTACATATATTAATGCATTGATTCAGGACTTTAAAACTTACTTTTGTTATGCCAAAAATAGTGAATCCATCAATTTACTTAATCTATATTCTGAATAGGGCATGTTGCAATAGTTATGCTATGCTATGTTTGGTTTGGTTTATGTATGCTTCAGATTAACTGTGGTAGTTGTTAGCTAAGCTGCAGTCACCCAGAAGGTTGGATTTTGATTGGTTCAGGTTAATAATTGACGATTGTAAACCTGGCTATGGATTGATATTCAACCTTCCAAGCCAATGCAGATGAGGTCACTGTTTGTAGTGCACTGTTACTTGAACATGCTTGTCTAGTGTCATCTAGATTTATAGCTTTCTGCTTTTAGTTGTATTCTGTATCCGTTATAAGTATGTTTAAGCACGTTGTCAATAGACCATTTTCCGCTCACTGCAAGAATCGTGTGTTGTGTGAAATCGAATGTAAAAACAGGACAAAGGTCGTAGTGGCGTCGAACATCGTATGGGATTCGACAAACGCAAAAATATTTTGGGAGGCATTTCCATGCTTAATAATGTCCTGTACACATTTGATAGACAATTTTAATTAAGTGAGGGTATTCGAAAGCAATATTCCTCTGTCGAAGATCGGCCGGTCGATGTGAGCTACGAAATATCAAAATTAGAGTTTGAAATCAAAACTATTTTTGCGGCAGACGTTCAACCTGCGTCTTTCATGCATCTCGCGAGATCTCGCGGTTGAACTGAAAATCACCTATTAATATTCACCAAATGTTACTATGTTTTGATGCAGGCCAATGTTACCCAGCTTGAGATCAGTATAGCATCTAAATATCACCAGTCCCTGATTGGTGCCAAAGGTCGCTTGGTACGCTCCATCATGGAAGACTGTGGTGGTGTGATGATTCACTTCCCTAATGAAGGATCAGGGAGTGACAAGGTCACATTGAGAGGACCCAAGGATGATGTGGATAAAGCAAAGAAACAGTTAATGGAATTGGCAAATGAAAGGGTAAGATTACATAAACACAATCCAAATTTAAGTTGCCATTAGTCTTAAAGCAAGAAATTTAGGCATTTTTTTTATGAATAGTAAATGTAATTTCCCATTGAATACTGATTTTTGTTTAACATTATAAAAAGTTGACATTGGCTGAACAGTTGTTTGGAAACTGGTACAATGGGCATAGTAGCATGTGCATCAACGTACGTGCATCAACCCCATATGTCTTGGTTGCCATCACACTTCATGTCAGTGCATTGTCATGAAGGCTGAAGTCAAACTAACAATACAACCATCAAGCATGCGAATATACACCAGACAAACGACATATCATGGTACAATGGCGATATGCAGCGGTTAATTCACACAAGCACACAATAATCGCAACAGAACAGCAAGTAATCCTAATATGGTAATCCCACATCTACCCAATCCAATATGTAGTACCGTAAAATTCCTTTTTGAGGCCGCAGCTTTAATAGAAGCCGCACCCCTAACTTGAGACATTGTTTCATGTTGAAATTGACAAGTTTTGATCCCAGGGAAAAGTCTGCAATATAAGCCGCACCCCAAACTTTCACAAACCAAACAGCCACCACATATTTCAGAAAAAGATATACCATTTAATTTTAAATTAAGGCAATGATTCCTGACGCTTAAATTAGAGTCTAATTAAGGTTTTCCGTAGTCATTGACGCTTATTCCAGAGTACAGGTTTATTGTGGGTAACGTGACTGGGTAAACTGCGTTTCGACAATGAGCTGTTATTATCTTCAAAAATGTTAAATTCTTCTTCAATGCTCAGCTTATCTGTCGAAAACAACTAATTTCTTGATTTAAAAAAAAATCATGTCGTTTTCCCATCAAAATCAAAGCCAAACGATTGCACTACAACAACGGTAAATCTCTTTCGTGTTTCGTTTACCATGAGGTCGCTGAACTACATTAACATATTTAAATGAGCTATGGTAATTTAATCACGTTTGCACCATCCAGCGTTTCGATTGGTTAATTAGCGACTTGACCTATCAGGTCAACATAAGTTTCAAGTCACTAAAGATGTTTGAACTAACATGGCGGATATCGTATCGGATCGAGCATTTATATGTGACCAAAATCATTCGCTTGCGGTGAAACTGTTGAAATTTCACAACAATTCAACGAAGTTATTTTTTGTACATTATTGTAATCACTACTGATTAATAATCAGCAATTGTAACACTTCAAAACAAGTAAGTTATTCACTTGTGTGAAGCAGCATGACCGTTACCGTGATCATTTGCTACTAAGAATGCA